GTGCATATCTATTAGGTTTGCCTCCATTTTAAAACTGTAACTAAATGGGCTCGCACACATTTCCTGGGCATCTTGCTGTTTTTCACTTGCTGACACATCATGGCCGGCCCCGATGGCCGTCGCCTAGCCAAAACACAAAGCAAGCCTTTGTTTAATGGCTGCAGCCCGGCGCCTCGCCCGCCGCGGAGGACTCTCCGCAGCAGCAGCAGCTGTGTGCACATCCGCGCCTTTGTCTCCGCGGCGGCTGCACAAAGGAATCCTATTGTGGGGCGGTGGTCCAGAAAGGCCCCCTCCGTGCGGGACAGCGCCCATTGCCAGGCACCTGGGCTATCAGATTTTATCCCTTTCCCGATGGCGCGGGGACAATGCACACGACCCCGTACGTAGGTGACATTGCAAGGGTTTATTTTTTTGGTCTGACAACCGGCGAGCTTTGTCTCCCGGTGCTGTGTCCAGGTTCGCCAGCGTCAGGCAGGGGGAGCTACAGACCTTTCCAGGATGCGATGAGAGCTGAGAACAAAAAGAACTGCGCCACAGGCCTGTTTTGCAAACCATTTCAGGGGCCCGGGCGGGGGCGCCTGTCTGAGAGCCCCCGCCGCCCAGCCCTGCACCCAGCTCTGGCTCTGACGCAGACTGCGGCATCGGTGATTTTCCATGAACACAGACACCGTGTTTTCTAAACGTTAACAGGTTTCTCTGCAGAGGCAGAGCCCAGGGCCTGGAATGTTCCTCTGGCCTGAGATCTTTTTGTCCCCTCTCCTGCAGAACTGACCCTGGCGTTTGAGGTTCAAATGGGCTTTCTAGACGTTGCGAGGAAGTTCTGTACTTAATAGGAAAAAAAAAAAAATTTTTTTAAATCAGCAAGTTTCAGGGACATTATTTATCCCCCACGTTGGGAATTATCTGTTCTGGATGGCGGCGCTTATTGCATCATGTTTGCTGAGGATGGATGAGGCTCTCTGGGAACCGGGAGACTATCGATTCCCAGCGAGTAAACACTGTAAGCAAATTAGGTGGCGGGAGTGATAATAATAATAAGAGCAATCAATGCCTGCTGCGCATCAGGCGCCTGCTCTGTGCCAGGCGTTGGATCCCTCCAGCAGTGACAGGGGCAGGGTTTAGGGCCCACTGTCACCAACGAGGAAACTGAGGCCCAGAGCCACGCAGCTGCTGGCAAAGGAAGATTATAAATGGATCTAGCAGCTCACAAGGCCCGGCCCTCCCAGGACGTTGGGAGGTGTAGGGGGTGGGGGGAACCACACCATCCGGGCTTCAGGTCCGGAGGGCACTGTTCACCTTGGTTGTCTTATTTCACCAGCACAACCAGGTTGGCATGGAGATGATGGTCCCGTGATAGACAAAGAAGCTGAGGTCCTTGTAGGTGGCCATTTGCCCAAAGTCAGACACTGGTGAGGAGTGAAGAAAGGATAGCTTCTGGCCCACAAATATACTGAACACAAGGCAATGGCACTAACTCGCAGCAAAACACAGCTGCCTGCGGTTGGCTCCATTTGCGTGTTTTTAAAAGGGAGGCTGGCGAGGGCCTAGGATAGCAGTTCCACATGGAGACTGTCTTCTGTTGGAAGCAAAGGGATTGGGGGCAGTTTGAAAAGGAGAGGACTTTCTCACCCGAGGTTTCAGTGTCACTTAGGAGTGTCAGGAGCCACCTAAGTCCGCTGAGATGCCATGGGAAGCCCTGGAGACCATGGAGGGCCCAGGTCTGGGGCAGAGGGCAGAGCCCACGCTCAGCTGACACCTCGGGAGGAGTCTTTGGAGAGAGACGGCACCGTGCTGAAGACCTGCTAGAACTGGGCTGGCCAAGGTCCAGAGGGGCAGCCAAGGCACCCGCATCCGAGGCCTGAAGGATGCTGAAGATCAGGCCAATGGACAGGATGCAGAATAAGGCTCAGGGTCTTGTTTAGCTGCCCCTGAGACTCTGTGTGTGTGTGTGTGTGTGTGTGTGTGTGTGTGTGTGTGTGTGTGAGGCGGGGGGGGGGGGGGGGGGGGGGCCAGAGGCTTGATGGCCTGGAGGCTGGGTCAGCCAAACCGGACCTGGAAAAGATGTTCCAAGCTCCCTCTGAACCACAGCTGGTGTCACCTCTTTCTCATTTACACTGACCTCGGGAGGATTGGGGGCGACTTATAACTGAACACGTACGAGAAGAGGAACTGGTGACAATGCACTCGGGGGGAGAGTGGGTATTTGCTCCAGGAGGCGCCTAATCTTGGCTCTGAGCATCCTGGCAGCCAAGGCGAGTAGAAACACAGCTGTTATCTGCTTCTAGTGAGTGGTTCGCCTCTCCAGAAGGGCTCCCTAGTACCAGTTACTGTTTTCCAGGCTGACATAGGCACACTGGTGAGCAATGTCCCTGGTGGCAGAGCAATGTCCCCGAGGAAGCCTCATTCATGAGCCACCAAGAGCTCCAAGGACACTCCATGGCATTTTCCTGGGGGTGCTGACCTCAAAGTGTCAGGTCATCAGTTTTGTGGTGATCGGAACTTCAGAGACTCCAAGAAAAGCACCAAATGGTTCTCCTATCTTCCCTCTCTCTCAAACACCAATAATTTAGCCTTTGACTTCAGCAAGGTCACCCCACCAAGCTCTCAGATGATAACAACTAGCACCTGTTGAGCATGTTCTACTCCCTCAGTCCTCCCAATACCCTTAGGGACCAGGCACCATGACTGCCCTCCATCCTCTAACCACAGGGCAAAGCCTGCAAGATGTGATCTGGGCCCTAGCCGGTGTGGCTCAGTGGATACAGCATCGGCCTGTGGACTGAAAGGTCCCAGGTTTGATTCCGGTCAAGGCCATGTACCTGGGTTGTGAGCACATCCCTAGTGGGAGGTGTGCAGGAGGAAGCTGATCAATGTTTCTCTCTCACTGATGTTTCTAAATCTCTATCCCACTCTCTTCCTCTCTGTAGAAAGTCAATAAAATATTTTTTTTAAAATAAAAGATGTGATCTGAGGTCCACACTGACCCCAAACACTGCATCCCCACACTAGTCCCCCAGTTTCTTGCTCTAGTGACTGAGAGCCCAGGCTCACAGGAAGTACAAGACAAAGAGAGGGGGCTGGATTTTATACCCAGAAGACTGGCCCCGCTCCTTTCCCAGAGGAAGCCCACTCTCTCCTCGGAGAGTGAGGCCCTCCTGGCCCCTGCAAACCACCGCTGTTTCACTGCCACACGCCATCCCCAATGCCTTAACCAGATTCTAAAAAAATATGAGTTGCCCCAACCCCAAATGTGTTTTTCTGTTGTTGTTGGCGTCAAAGAATGACCCAAAAAACACCTTTAAAAAATGTTTAGTGAAATATCTACCAATGTAACATGACTGTGATCAATTGCAAATCAACTCTTGTATGGGGTGGACATCTTTTATTGGATCTGTGATGAGGCTTGTTTGAATATGAGAGAGGATGTTGAGATTTCCTCAAATGAAGAGTCCCCGGGATCTTCGGGCATGCTCAAATGACCCTGCCACAGACTGAGCGAAATGTCACCACAGAGACCTTGGAATCTGCCCAATTTCTGGCCAAGAGTTTAATTGAATTGGGGCCACAGGAAGACAGAGTGCTTGCCTCCAAAGTTCTGAGGACAAGTGTCAGGCACTTGGCTCTCCTAAAACAAAGACAATAGAGCAAAGCTCCAGGCAAACATGACTTTGGGTAATGCCACTTGTGAAGTTAAAAGGGTGCTCAAGTCCCGCCCCCACCCCACCCCCAACACACCTCATTAGCTAAATGAATTGACCCGCTCAGTGGGGTTATTTAATATCTGCCTATGACTTTGGAGAAAGCCTGCCAAAAACAAGATCTCGGTTTTGACATAGTTGACGCTAAACTCTATTTTTTTCCTGGCTATTATTTGTCAAACAGATCACTGAGCTGGGCACAGCCCCGACTGCGGAAGGTAGGGCCCCATCAACACAGCTCTTCCTCCTCGCTCTGACAGCAGGAAACGCGGCCAGTTAATTCAAAAGCTGAACCCAGGTATTGGGACCTATGTCAGAAGGAAGGGCGCCAGCATTCCATACCATCTCCATCCCTTTAAAAACACAACTTAGGCGCCTGAGAGGGGTTCCGGAAGCTGCAGCAGAATATAGAGCGTTAGTTAGGGAGACATCCAAGACGGGACCCTGGGCTGCCCGCCCTGTGGCTTCAGAGCCAGCGATTGTCCCAATGAGAGTCAAGTAGTTTGGACCCACGTTCCTCTGTGAAACGAGTTAGTTTCACAACGGAGGGCAGTCTTATGTTTGCCTCAAATCTTCTTTTGTACCATATCACGATCCTTAAAAAGTTCAAGCCAACACTCAAAACCAAAACTTATATAAAAAACTCAGATTTCCAGCTCTAGACAGCTTGGAAAGAGCTGGCTACCTCTGACCCCCGTTTCCATTGGAGCTGAGCCATGGCGCCTTCAGACAGGGGAGTGTGTGTCAGTTTGCCTCAGACCTCATCTTTCCTCATAGCCTCCCCAACACCCGCAGCTCCCTCATCCACACAGCAGGCCGGGCCCGCAGTCTGGATCTGTTGTGAGGTACAGAACCTAGCATTAAGCACAGATGCTGCCCCATAAGGTCCTGCAGCGAGTTGGGTTCCAGCAAGAAGGGAGAAAGCTGGAGGGAGGTGGTGCTTGGGCCACTGGCGATGGGACACAGGAAAGAAGGTGCCGGCTCCTCCTGGAGGCTCATCGTCGTCCTCCACACCACCACCTCCACACTCACCGCCAACGCGTTGCCTTTCAACACATCAGGCACCCTCAGGAGAACACGTTTGGAGAACCAAGCTCTCCCCAGACCCCACCCCACCCCGGATCAAGCCTCAGACCCCTCAGGGATGGCTCAGGGAAACTTCTGGAACATTACTAGCCGTGGGAGCCTTTGGAGCTGTGAGCTTTGCAAATGGAAGCTCACTGCACGCGGCCTCCCGACATCTGCCAACACGCGCAGCGCGGTGCAGGCAGGGCCGCCCTCCTGATGGCGACGGCGCCGGTGCATTAGGCGACCTCCGGGCGCGGGACGAGGTAATTGGCTCTCGTCACCCTGAGTGGCGTTATCAGGCGCCACGCGCAAACAGCTTAAAATTAAAGGCTGGCATGGAGCCTCTTAGGGCCGTAATGGGTTACAAAATGAAGGCGGCTCACCTATTTCTATCAGCTCCCTCCGCGGGTCATCTGCAACCAAGACAGATAATTTACTATCTGATTCAGATTAATTGCCATGTTTTCCTGCCTTCCTGCTCAGCAAGGGTCACTGTGGATCCCAGCGCTTCAGAAGTCGCCCGGCTCGGCTTTGACCAGCAAACATCTCAGCGGGAGCTCAGCCGTGTTCCTCTCCGGGGAGACTCTCCTCTCTGCGAGGCCTCGCTCAGGTCTTGAGGCCCTTTGCCCCCGCCTTTGGCTGCTGGGACAAGAGCATCTGCTGCTCACACTGCCTGTGGTCCAGCTGGTGGGTGATGTCCTTGGGGGTCACCCCCTTGGCATCCTTGGCATAGGCGGAGGCCCCATGCTGGAGCAGGAGGCTGATACAGTCTGACTGGCCAGTGAGTGCAGCCACGTGCAGGGGCGTCCTGCCCATGGGGGACCGGCCGAGACAGTTGGCTCCTGTAAAATAAGAAAGCTCGCTGCGGGAGGTGTGATCAGGAAGAGAAGCATGGAGGGGCTGAGGCTGGGAAAGGAATGTCAGGAAAACTAACAGCTGCTCCCACGCTCAGTACCAGGTCTACGTGAGGGGACAATGCCTCCCCCAGCACCCGGCACCACCTCACCCCCAGGCTCTCCCCCACCGTAGCCAGTGGTCTTTCAAAAAGCCAGTCACCCTCCTCCCATCCCGCATTGGCATCCACTGCCCTTGGGGTAATAATGTTCTCGGTCTTTACTGCTCCAACTCCCCTCCCCTCCCCCTTCTCACTCAAGCAACACCCCCACAATGTTCTTCTTCCCCACCCTGCATGCCCCGATCAAACCAGCCTCCCAGCTTCATCCCTTAAATATACCCTGCTCCCCTATCCTGCCCCAGGCCCTTTGCATGCACTGTGACCTTTGCCAACCACACTCCCATCCTTTCTCCTCGCCCCTGGGCTCACTGTGTCCTTTCTTAGGTCTCATTCCCTCCCTCAGGAGCCCCTCCGTCACCAGCACCCCCAGCGCCTCTGTGTAAGCTCGGTGGATATGCTGTGCACACCGACCATGGAATTAATTGCTTGTAATCATGTCCCTTCATAAACTCCATGAGGGCAGAAAGCACAGTGGTTATGTTTTCCTCCCCAGCACGTAGCGTGACGCCTGGGGAAGACAGGCGCCCAGGCCATGATGGACGACAGGTGGCCTGACTCATAGACACACCTGCATCCCTCACTGCCTCCTGCAGGTGGATGGGCTAATGACAGGTGTCCAATGTGCACTTGTTGAGTGGAACCAAATTCTGGGTAACAAATGTCATGGCACAGAACACCAGGCACTTCAATTCCATGGGACTGACACTTGGGGAGCCCGATTCTGTGAGCGATGGCTGGCCGGTGAGGCACAGGGTCCATTAAACAGGTCCTCCTAGCGCCCGGCCCGGGCCAGGCCGCCTCTTCCCAACGGCTGTCTGCAAAGGACAGAAGACGTCGCGAGGCTGGCTGTAATTTTTTAACTGGTGCTTTCAAATACATCACAGTTCCATCAGAGGGAAAATGACATTTTATGAGCTTAAAGGATGCTGGGCTGTGAAAAACCCATATTTCATCTCACAACAGGCAGAGTGCAGGAGGCAGGGGCGGGGGGTACAGTCTGGAAGCTCCCTCCATCAGGACGCCGCTGGTCATCCTACCCGCAGGTCCGAGCTGTGCCCGCCCTGCCTGCCGGAGGCGGGAGAGAGCAGGCTGAGTGGGGAGAGGCGGGGCCAAGGCTGCAGGCAGGAAAGAAAGGGTCTGATTTGGGGGTGTTGACAGTGGAGACCCTTGGACGAGGCTCTCTTCTGAGCTCCCAACCATTGGCCAAGGACGCTGCCCGCCACGTGCTTCCTTTCCCAGGGAAGCGTGGCCGGGCCTGGCCGGGCCTGGCCACAACCACTGTGCGTTGTTCTTTGATGGGCGACACCTCAGTCTGTGGGCCTCTTTCCTCAGACACATCCCACATCCAGGGAGATGGCGCCCGCTCTCACAGAATCTCATGGGAGGCCCTTAATTCAGGGACAATGCGGGCTAAGGCTGGAGGTGGGGAGGGAGAGGAGGAAAGAGTGTTTGGGGTGATTATCTCAAGGCTTGGAGGGAAGGGCCGCCAACCAGCAGGAGAAGGGTGCCAGCGTGGGCCCCCCAGTCCATGTCAGAAACCCCACTCAGCTGGGGTGCAAACCACACAGGCATTGAGGGGTGCCCCGGGGGGTCTGGTTGGACACGGAGCCAGGATGCCCCTTCGGCTGCTCTCCTGCAGCAGAAAGAATTCCCTGGAGACCTGGCCAGGGAGGGGACCGGCCCCTGGCTACCGTGTCCTGAGGCGCCTCAGACAGGGACCTTGATGGCTGGTTGACAAGACCTGCGCAAAGGAAGCTGCTGCTGAAGGGACCGAGGAAAAACCATTCTGTCCTCCCTCCTCACCAAGGACTGGCTCTTGAACATCCTCGCCTCACAATTACCTTGTTCCAGAAGATACTGCACCGCCTCCACGTGGCCTCTGTGCGAGGCGACGTACAAGGCCACGAAGGCCCTCTGAGCCACCCACTTCTTCCGCTGCTTCTCTCCCAGGTAGAGCAGAGTGGCTGTTCGGTACGGAGAGTCCTCGCTCACTCCCAGGCAGGAGAGCTGGCAAGAACGGAGGGGCGTGAGCGTGGGGCGGCGGGGGCAGGGCCCTCCCCCGGGTAGGTCTGCTCAAAAGCCCAGTGAAGGCCACCGTGGGGCCAGGGGGGCGAACCCTATCGGGGAGGCTGGAAAACAGCCGGGGGTGGGGGGACTACACATGCCCAGGAAATAGGAACGTGCCATCAGGCAGGCTCGGAAGCTGGAAATGCTTCCTGTCAATGTTTGAAATCAGGTTTTTCCGGGTGCCCAGAGGAAGGTGGTCGTAGCCGGTGAGGAAGACCCCAGCCAGCACAGAGGGGCTCCCCTCGGTGAACAAGCTTCCCCCGAGACATGCTCATTCCGACCTTGCGATCTATTCCGGGCCCATTGGGTCCGCTAGCTTGGGAGCGCTCTGAACTCGGCTCTCTCTCGGGGAGGAAGAACCGGAACACTATCACCTCGGGGTGCACAGAGGGGGCTCTCCCTGATGGCGGTGTCTGGCGTGGGGTGGCGGGGAGGAGGGTGCTGGCTCAGACAAAAGGGAGTCACCTGAGCCCAGAGTTAGAGCCAGAATGTCCAGGCACCGGGGAGGCCTGGGAGACGGAGGAGCGAGGGTGGACCTGGCCATGGCCCCTCCCTACACCCTCCTCTGAGACGTGCACCCACCCAGGGGTGCTGCAGTGCTGTCCCTGCCTCCCCCAAACCCACTCACCCTTCCCCGACCTAATCCCAACACGCCTCCGCACCCAGCCTCCCAGCCCGTTCCCAGCCGGAGTGAATTCCGTCTCCTTGCACACAGCTCAGCCCTATTTGTTGAGCTGCTTTTCTAGAAAGCACACACACTTGTCCCCTGGGTCTGAGTGATTGGTCTTCACCATTGGGTGGACAAGCTGGTTTCCATCTACTTCCCCCCCACCGCCCACCCCAGAGCCCAGGACATGGCTTGGCAAACAGTAGGCGCCTGCTGTGTACCGGAGAAAGGCAGACCCCGCCAGGACGGTGCCCCTGCCCGTGTTCCGGGCCGAGAATCTCCAGGGCACCCGGGCGCTGCACTGGCAGTTATATTAGGTTTCCGACTTCACCAAATACACATGTGAACAGAGAGCACATTGCCCAGATTCTTTTGGGGGGCATGAGTGGATTATAAGTCAAAAGTGAGTGAACACAGTGAAATCGCAAACCCAATGAGGGAGGGAAACACTGGAACCTGGATTTGAACATTAGGACATAAGTCCTTGTTATCTTTTCTCCCTGCGCTGAAATTTCTCCTCAAATATTTACATTAAAGTCTGGGAATCCCCACCTGCCACACACACACACACACACACCCCATTTACAACTGCTTCCTGAGGTGTAATACCCATGTAAAGAATCATGAGAACACCTTACTGCTATCCCCTTCCACCGCTGCCTGAACCAGGTCCGCCCATCCATCATAACGCCAGACATGTAATGAAATAATTCCACCGGGAACGACATCGTGAAACCTCAGGGTAGTGTCATCCATCAAAATTCCTGCGGAGAATCAGTTTTTCTTTTAAAAAAAATAAAAATGGGTATTTCAGATAAACTATTACGTTAGTTTAGTTAGGAGGTGATCTGACCTTGGCTATCACAGGTACCTTCAGAGCCGTGAGCACGTGAGCCGTGAGCACGCCACCACCCGTGATGGCGCCACACAAGCGGCCGGTGGTCGTTCCTGCTCTCAGAACACTAATGTGGCTCCGCTCAGAGAGAAGCCAACCAGCCACCTCCAAACCCAAAAACCAAGGCAACTGTTTACCAAATTCTGCCATTATAACTCATCATGTTGCGAAGAACACGAGTCGCTAGAGTCTTTTCATGAGGCAAACTCTACAGAGTGAAAACTTGAAGTACCGAGGTTGTCCTCTATGTGTAGCACAGCTCGGCGTGGTCATACAAGTCAAGCTAAAACCCTCTGGCGAGCGTTGTCTTCGTTGGGTAAGAGGTAGCAATGGCACACGTCTGCTGGATCTGTGCTTTCCCCATAAGCAATGCCACAGGTTAGAATCTCTGCTTGGGCTGGGCTGTCACTCATGCCAGGTGGAATTCACCAGTGTTTTTTGGGTTTCATGGTTGATTACTACATACCTGAAAGAAGTACCTGCATTCTTTTTTGTTTTGTTTTGTTTTTAGTTATCACCAGGGATATGTTTTTATTGATTTGAGAGAGAAAGGGAGAGAGAAAGGGGAGGGGGGATTGATGGGAAAGAGAAACATCAATCGGTTGCCTTCCGTGTCCATATGTCCAGCCTGGGTGTCAAACCCCCACCCTAGGTATGTTCCTAGACCAGGAATTGAACCTGAAACTTTTGGTGTATGGGACAACTCTCCAACCAATTGCGCCGCCCGACCAGGGCAGAAGTGCCCACATTAAGTAATCTTCATGGCAAGCGAGGCCTGTCACCTCCCATAAGCAAACTCAGGCCCCCAGGGCATGGCAAAGCCGGGACTCCAACCAGAACTGCCCTTCCTGCCAGCGCTGGGCGCCCTCGCTCTGGGCTCCGCTGGCATCTCTGGATCCAGCCACTCTGGATCGTGGATGTAAACAGGAAGTGGTGGCTGGCAAATCTGCTAATTAGGGTCTTGTTTGTGGTTCCAGCACAGAGGATAATCAGTAATTAGACTAAGCAAGACAACCTGTCTTCCCATCAACCTTGAAGAAATTAAGTAAAGCTGTGTTTCCCTGCAAACGACAAGTGTGCGAGTCACACATGCTGAGCAGCTCCTCGGGAAGAAATCGGAGCACATTCTTCCTTGCGGCAGGCAGCGACTCCAGCTTACACAAACACTAATTATCACCCGCTTAAATAAATTATTAGAGCTGACGACAGACCTGTCAGGGCGACCCTAGTCTGCGGATTTGCTCACCCCTTTCAGATTTGTGTCTCACAAGGTTTTCACACCCATTAGCTCATTTGACCCCCCTTGCGACCTCTGAGGTGGGCACAGAGGCTTTGGCTCATTACATATAGGCAGGAGCCCTCGAGTCATCTGTCAGCGTGGTCCCACCTTCCCTCTCCCCCGTGGGCCGTCCGCAGTAAGGACCACAGCCCAGAGAGAGGTCAAGCTTCTAACACTCGCTAAGTGCTGGTTGAGGGACAGGATTGTGACATCAGCGCTAAGTCACAATCCTGTGACTTCGCTTTCTTGAATTTACTGCTCAGCATAGCTCATCAGCAGAAATAAATTCACCGGAGGGGGCCAGACATTCGTAGTTCAGGAGACGTAATTTTCGAATTACTTGTTTTGGAACTCTGAGTCCTTCAGGAGTTCACCTCGTTTTTAACATGTTAAATGCAGATGGGGTCTGAGATCTATTTCCCTTGGAATAAAGCCTCAGAAATGCCCCAAAGTTACTGCCCAGTACTGTCCTCAGACACCCGATACACAGGAAGGGGCCGCGGCTCCCACAGACGCTTCTCCGAGTCGTTCTGTCTAGGAAGGGACATGGCATCGAGACTTCTCTGGGTGAGAGGGCTCAGCGTGCAGATGAGAAGCTGCCCCAGAGTGCTCGCGGGAGCACCGAGCTGCTTGGGACCTGTCTGCACCATTCTGGCCTCTGCGGCATCATTGCTGTGTGTCTGCAGGAGCCCGCTCACCTCCCTGTGCTGCAGCCAGACCTCTCCATCTCTTCAAGTGTTTTTGCGTTGATGTCCACGGGTGGTGGGTGACGGAGGCTGGGGGCTTTGATCCTCTCATCCAAGTATCGTACTGATCGGGAGAGGCCAGCCAGGTCCTCAGGCTGACGGGAGGAGATTGATGGCGAGGGTGTTTACCCTCCACTCGGTGCCTCTCGCGTGGATGTGTCCAGACAGGAAGCTCAGGGGTCCCAGTTTAGCCGCAGAGAGTTCAGGTGCTGGGTTGATTCCTGTGGGGCTAGCTCTGAGCCCCTAATGTGGACAAGGACACAACTTGAGATGGGAATTCAGATACGAACTGGGTTCGTGCCAGTGCTCGGGGTTCAAATGTGGATAGGGTTTGCTTCGAGATCTCGAGATCCGGGGTTCTGATGAAGGCAAGGTTTACTTTCTATTTGGGGAAGGATCAGTTCTGGGATGTGAAGACCTTATGTCTGTAAGACTTGTTCTAAGATTTGGGGGTTCTGACGTAGCCCTGGGTAGTGTGGCAACTGGGGGGTGAGGAATTGAACAGGTTCTTCCCTGAAATTTGGGGGTCTGACTCAGGCAGGATTAGATCTAGAATTTGGGTTCTAATGTAGATTAGGTTGGCTAAGGGATTCGAGTTTCAAATACTAGTACCAGCGGAGTTGGCTTTAAGATTTGGGGTCCTCATATGTGAGGTTTGTTTTGAACTTCAGCTTCCTTACATGGATGTGGTTGGCTTAAATTGGAGTGCTGATGTAGACATGGTTCCCATGGAGAGTTGGGGTGCAGATGTGGGTAGGTTGACTTTATTTTTGGGGTGCTATTGTGGGCAGAGTTTGCCTCATGCTTTAGAGCGCTTATGGGACACTTTGCTTGAGGTTGGAGTTCTGGTGTATTCGGTCATGGTGAACTTGGGATTTGGCTTTCAGGTGTGGGCAGAGTTGGCTTTGAATTTGGGGTCCAGATGTGGGAAGTTTGTTTTGCCGTCTGGCATCCTTACGAACACAGTAATGGCTGGTGGGTTGAGGTTCGGATGCACAAATGGTTGATTAGAGATTAGGGGCTCAGAATTAGGCATGTCTGCTCTGATTTAGGGTCGTGATCTGGGTAAAGTCTGTTGCAGGCGAGGGCAGCTTAGGGACTTTGAGGTTCAAACGTGGGCATGGTTTGCCTACAGATATGGGTTTTCAAGGGGCAGAGTTTGTCTCAGGCTTCAGTGCTCATCAGTGAACACTGTCAGTGGAGGATTCGGGGTTCTGATGGTCACTTTGATAGTCTGGAATCTGGGGTTCAGTCTTGGCCAAGTTTCTTGGTTTTGGTTCCCAACATGGGCGGGGCTCGTTCTGAGCTTTAGAGTCCTTGTGTAGACTTAACTGCCAAAGGATTCCAGATTCTAAGGCAGTCATGGTTACCAAGAACATTTGGGATTCAGTCTTGGGCAGATCTGTTCTGGATTTGGGGTAGAGGTGAATAGAGGCTGTTTCACTCTTTAGCGTCCTTACATAAACAGTTTCCTAAGGATTTGGGGTTCTGAGGCATTTGGGCTTAGCCTAGAGAGTTGGGGCTGTCTTGAACAGGTTTGTTCTGGGTTTGGGAGCAGGTTTGTTTTGGCATTTGGTGTCCTTGTGTGGACATGGCTGGCTGGGAGTTTGCTTTGAGTTTGGGGTCCTACTGTGAGCAGGGTTTGCTTTGGGATTGGAACCCTAAGAGTCAGGGCGGTTCATGACATGGGGTCGTCCTGCAGACAAGGTTTGTCTTGAGATTTGAGGTCTAGTGTGGATCTGTCTAGGATCGGGAGAACCCTATTGGCCAGGGATTGCTTTTCCATCTGAGGGTCCCAGGAGGTTGGGTGTGTTATGACACCTGGGATCCTCATCTGGCTGCTTCCCCTTAGCGTCAGGACGTTCAGAGGAGATTGGGCACCCGGGTCCAGGGAATAGCAAGGCTAGGGGAGGGGTTGAGAAGGCACCACCTTGGTCCAGGTACTGGAGCAGCTGGAGGTTCAAGGGGATGCCGGCTGCCAGATCCAGCTCCTCCTTGAGCTCCTGCACCGTCATGTCGCCGTGGCAGTGTGTCACGGTGAACATCTCCCCGGTCTCCTCCAGCAGCACCCGTATGACAAAGCGGTATGGGGCCAAGTCCAGCGCCATGCTCGCCGTCCGCGAGCCGTGGCTGCGACCCCGGACGCGGGCTTTGGAGGAGTGTCGCCGCCCCCGGCCCACGGAGCCCAACCTCCGCCCGCCCCGCTGGCCCAGGGCAGGATCAGGGCGAAGGGCGCCCCCCTGCGGCTTCGCCGTCCGCGCTCCCCCCGCGCCCTCGGTGGCCCGCTGCATGCCCGCCGCCGCCCGGTCCCCAAGTGCGTCCCCGCGTGCGTCATCCGCTGAGCTCAGCGGCCGCGCGTCATCGCCGCCCGCGCCCTCCCGCGCCCTCCGTGGGCCGGAGCCCCGCAGTAAACACAGGCGGCTCACGTGGACGTGACGCTCTTCCCTACGACAATGGGGGGCTTCACTGACATCAATAGACATCGCCCCGCCCCCGCCCCCAGCTCCCACCAGGTCCCCAACTCCACCGCCAAGCTGCCAGGCTGCTCTGGATGTCACTCCTTTAACCTGGAAAGCCAGGCAGCTTCCCACCACTGCTGGGAGCCGTGATCTCTTCTCATCTCCCTGTAAAATACAATCTTTGCTAATTGGGGACCAACTACCTGGAGGAATTATGCTGAACAAGGCCCTAAATCAAGCTTCAGGCGGTCTTTAGTCCTGCTTAAAAACCGTATTTCTAGCATAAATAATGATTAAAAAAAAAAAAAACAACATTGCAGAAATATGCCTCATTTCAGATTTGGGGGAGCGCGAGTAGGGGAGTAGTTGGCCACTCCGGAGTGGGCGACAGACAGACCTTCATGAGTTCTCAAAGCTGCATCAAAACCATCAATTCTGGAGACGCTCTGGAATTATTAGAGTGAGAAAGGGGCTGATAAAAACAAGGGGCAAGGCCCCGTGGCAAAGGCTCTATTGTCAGAATAGCTTTCAAGGGGGCTCCATCTTGTGAAACCATCTTGTGCTTTTCCATTAATTCACCAGAGGCGGCCCAACATTCAAGTAAATAGGAAGCTCACTTGTGATGGTCAAATCCCAAGCACTCAGCCCCTGGGCCCATGAACAGTTAATACACAAAGAGCTAGAGTGATGGGTGCCTTAGCCAGTTTGCTCAGTGGATAGAGTGTCAGCCTGGTCCCAGGTTTGAGTCCTATCAAGGAGACATACCTGGTTGCAGGTGCCTCCCTGGCCCAGGCCATGGTCTGGGTTCATGCAGGAGGCAACCAATCTATGTGTTTCTCTCACATTGATGTTTCTCTCTGTCTTTCCCTCTCTCTTCCACTCTCCCTAAAAATCAATGGAGAAATATCCTCAGGTGAGGATTAACAACAACAAAAAAGCTAGAGTGATGGGGAAAAAAAGCAGAATGCACAGGAACCAGATCATAGTGAAAGCTCAGTGGTTATAAAAATAAAATTAAGAAGAATAAAATATAAGCTATAAGTATACTTTTTGCAGAGAAATTAGTTACACAGAGAAAAAAAATCTTTGCCTTGGAAAGACACTCACATAATAGAAAAATTTTAACATATAAATTGACACATTAAAGGCTGAATTATTTACAGAGTCTCTAGAATGTCTACCAGCATGTTTGATTCAGCATGGGAATTCCACACATCACAACACAAACAGAAGCTAATCTTTTTTCCTTAATGGAAAATTAAGCTCTGCTCAGAATACAAGATTCCACTTGAATAATTCTATACTGGCTTCTATATCAACAGATTTGAACAACATGGCAATCTTAATTTCTAGGCAATTAAAAAAATCGCTTTTTACTGAAGCAAAACATTACCTCCATCTACTTACTGTAGGCAAAATTGAACACAAAATGATAGAAGGTTTCTTGGTGTGTTTTTTTCTTCTTAATATGTAGTCTCCGATTTATTAATCTTTTTAAATTTCTTTATTGATTAAGGTATTACATGTGTCCTTATCCCTCCATTACCCCCCATCCCTCCACTCATGTCCTCACCCCCGTGTTGTTTGTGTTCATTGGTTAGGCTTATATTATTAACCCACTTTTTGCTGAAGTTGCCAAAACGAAACCCTGGTCACACTTTGAGATTCCCACGAGTGAATCCTGTTTTCTTTGGTGCCAGAAATGTCCCCCTTTCTGTTCAAAGCAGCAGCTCTATAAACTGGAGGGAGGGGAGAGGATCCTGGACACCTGGGAATTCAATATGTGGCTCCAGATATTTTATTTAAAACAAGAAAAGACTTGATGAACCAAAAGATAGATATAGAGACAGTAAAGCAACAAGCAGATTGTCAAATTACAGCGGGGAGGGGAGGAGGATCTGGGGGAGATAATAGATCAACCGAAGGACTTGTATACATGCATATAAGTACAACCAATGGACATAAAACTATGGGGAGGGAGGGGATATGGGGGAGGGAGGGAGGGGGGCAAAAAAAAATCATTAAAATATGTAAAAAAATAAATAAATAAATTAAAAAAAAAAACCAGTCAGGAAAAAAAATAAAAAAATAAAAAAATAAAACAAGAAAAGACAGACAACAAAAGCTCCAAGGGAAGCGTGACAGCGAACGTGCCCTTGGCAGCTGCCCCTTCCCTCCCTTAAGCTCACCTTTGAGAAGATACACACGGAAACACAAGTAACATGAGCATACAGAATTTAATGTTTATAGAACTTTGAATTACTGATAAAACTATTTAAATTCTAGAGCATCTTTCTTGGTTCAAATTGTAAAAGCATGAAATCTAAGTTCTGTATACTTAGATCAATTTGAAGAGTTCATAATTTATTTTTTAAATTTATCTTTATTGTTGAAAGTATCAGAGTATCATAATTTAATACCCCAAACCACTGGCATTTGTGGGCAAGTATTATGGACTGATCAGAACTGGTTTCATATATATATATATATATATATATATATATATATATATATATATATATATATATAATTTGTTTTGTTAAGATTCTAAAGCATTAAGTATAAAGGCAATGTCCATGCATCTCAATGACCAATTTTCCTCTTGAGTTCTTAAGCATATGATACTATATCCATCTAAAAATGAATTTTTTCTGCAACATGCCTCTATCAATGACCAACACATAACTTTATGGCTACAATCCTGCAAGAAGGGGAGGGGGTGAGAAAAAGTTCTAGAGTTTATAACAAACATACAACATTAGAAAGATTGCCATAAATCATTCTTCAGTAGACTTCTTTATCACATTTTTTTCAAAAGTAAACAAATTGAGCTATATTTGCCACAACTCAAAGTGGAGCATAAATTTAAATGATGTATTTGTTTTGTTCACTGATAGGAGGCTAATATTACATTAATATCTTTTCTTCCTGTCAAGCGTTATTTACATATGTACAGATAAAAATAAAATACCATAAACTACATTTTATAGGAAAGCATAAGGCAGCCAAATGTGCAAGTCTTTAAAGACTGAAAAACTTCTAATAAACTACTTTATTTAGGGAGGCTTTAAATAATATAGTCTATAATAGAGAAAACAAACTGCTTATGAGTAACCTGAGGCTATGGAGGCCCCCACACTCACTTAACCACCTGGTTCTAGGACCTTTCAGACCCTGGATCTGAAAGGTGAAAATAACCCGATCAGGTAGGTGGGACGCACAGGCCGGTCCCAGGTGCAGTCCCGTGACTGCATGTGGGAATTTGACTATGTGATGTCAGAGTTTTCAGAAGCTTCCTTCCTTCAGCAGGTCTGATTACATAAGAGATGTGCCCCAAGTACAGAAGGAGCGACTGTGAGCCATTCCAGAGCTCAATTCTGTTCCCCCAACATGGTAGTGTCCACAAGATTGCCCCGCTTTGGCTTCAGGGTGGCAAAAAAGGAGACATCTGGGTCCCGATCTGACTGCAAAACTAAGATGGTCTCTTCAACGACTTCAAGATGAGGGTGGCCAGCATTTCTAAAGTATGCTAGAGAGAGAAACCATGAGTTCGAATCATGTGTGCCATGAATTGTGTCCTAAAACATCTTCTACTTTGCGGGTTCTTAAACCAAAACTCAGGACAATACATTATTTTTCAAAGAATTATCATATAAATAAGTCCTTTAAAATGATATTTACAAAATTATAACTAAAAAACTTTCACTATTATCTTTTCTTCCCTCCAGTAGAAGTGAACTATCCAAGGTCCCTACCTTATACTAAGTCCTGTTGAGGTGAAAATAACTGACTGGGTTGAGCAATACATTTTTTCTTACTGATTACAAAACCAGACCATTAAAACCTACTTGTAACTCAGGTTTAAATTTGCTAACTTTCATAATATTTATATCATAAAAAATTTGTAGTTTCCTTCCTTTCTGTAATATATGTAATATTTTGCATTTCAGCATGTTGATTAAATGTATATGTTTATTTCCTCAGTCCTTTTATGAGTAACATAAAATATACATGAAAGTGAAGTTATTATATAATAAACTGGAAGTGTGCTATCACATGACTTGCCACGATTTCCTAGAGAGGAAGCCTCGTTGCTAACTGATAAAGTTTAAGATGTGTAAGCTCAGAAAGCTGGTGCACATACCCTTGTCCAAGAGTGTCTGCCTCAGTGCTCTGGCGAGCATCACCCTGACATTGGGCACAGGGTCTGAGGCAAGGCTTAGAAGGCTGGGGAGTAAGTGTTCAACAAACTGGTCCACAGGGATACACTCCTCACTCACCACTGCCTGTGATGAAAAGACAAAGAACTGACATTTCAATGGTGATCAGCACGGTTCTCCTCAAAACACCCACTTCTGTAACCCCAAAGAAGCAGTTTCAGAACCTGTGGGTCTGAGGGGCATATGTGTCTTAATTTAAAACTCTCAACCACTGATGGGGTCAGAAACACAGTTAACATTTGTAACTCCCCACCAAGCACTGAGGTACAAGTGGAGAAAGTAGAGACTTTGAGTCAGACAGATCCAGGTTCAAAACCTGGCTAGGCCACTTACTGCCTTTGTGGCCGTGCTTCACCTTCCCGAGCCTCCGTTTTCTCATCTGTACAATGGCAAGGTGGTGGGGATGGCGCTCATTCTTTTTTTTTTCTTTTTTTTTCCATTTTTTAAATTAAGGTATTACATGTGTACATATCTTACCATTGCCCCCCCCACTGCCATACATGACCTCCCTCCCCAGAGTTTTGCATCCATTGGTTATGCTTATATGCATGCATACATGTCCTTCGGTTGATCCCTTATCTCCCCCATATCTCCCTACTCTCCCTGCTGTAATTTGACAGCCTGTTTATTTCTTTACTATCTCTGTATCTATCTTTTTGTTCATCAGTTTATAATGTTCCTTATTAGCCATAAATGAGTGAGATCATGTGGTGTTTTTCTTTCATTGACTGACTTATTTCACTCAGCATAATGCTCTCCAATTCCATCCAGGTTGCTACAAATGATGAGAATTCCTTCTTTTTTATGGCAGCATAGTATTCCAGTGTGTAGATATACCATAGTTTTTGGATCCAATCATCTGCTGATGGGCATCTAGGCTGTTTCCAAATCCTAGCTATTGTAGATTGTGCTGCTATGAACATAGGGGTGCATATATCCTTTCTGATTGGTGTTTCTAGTTTCTTGGGATATATTCCTAGGTGTGGGATTACTGGGTCAAATGGGAGTTCCATTTTCAGTTTTTTGAGGAAACTCCATACTGCTCTCCACAGTGGTTGCACCAGTCTGCATTCCCACCAGCAGTGCACGAGGGTTCTTTTTTCTCCTCAACCTCGTCAACACTTGTCGTTTGTTGATGTTGGCCATTCTGACAGGTGTGAGATGGTACCGCATTGTTGTTTTGATTTGCATCTCTTGGATAATTAGTGACTTTGAGCATGTTTTCATGTGCCTCTTGGCCTTCCTTCTGTCTTCTTTTGAAAATATTCTATTTAGGTCCATTGCCCATTTTTTTAATTGGATCGGATGGCGCTCATTCTTACATAGGCTAGCGTAGTGACCAGTAAGGGTGGAGAATCCTCACCTCTGTCACTCCCTGGAACCCAAGCTCTGAGGGCAGGGGCCACACTTGTCAGTGCCAACCAGCCCACTGACCCCATCCAGTGCCCAGCTTCTGGAAACAACTAACAAGGCTCCTATATCACCACCAGCATCTGCTCGTTACTTCTCCACTGAAGAAGTCCTACGGTGTTCGCACGTTTAATTCTCACAGCCAGTCCTGGGAGTCAGAATCAGCCTAGGTTTACAGGTGAGGAAATTCTGGTCCAATGTGGTAGTGACCAGCCAGCAGCAGCAGGATGGAGATTCCAAACTGGGTGTGTGGAATCTGTAGATCTGACTCGTACAGCTCTTCCCACTACTGGGAACTGCAGCAGCTACCACGTACTGAGTGTCCTTCAGGTGCCGGCACGTGCATGGAGACTCAGAAGCATCGGCTCATTAAAGCCTCAGGACCACACCAGGAGGCGGGCAGCGACCGCTGCTCCATTTCACAGGTGCAAAGGTGGTGCAGAGAGGCTGCCTGACCCAAGGCTCCCAACTGGTGGTTTGGCTCTAAATCGCCCTCAACCTCCAGGCGGTGCTCTCTTCCTGGGACTGCACTTTAGTAATAATCAGCATGACCCTTAGCAGGGAGTCTTGGCTGCGCCCTTTCCTTGCACTGGTGTAACTGTGGGTTTTCTAAATCTTTAATGATGAATTTAGTGAAAGTGCAAAAAAAAATTGTTCTTAAAAAAAATTATTTTGACATCTTTTACTTTTGTTTCATCGTGTAGTTTCTAAATCTGCAATGAGTCTATGTATATAAAAGGCTAATACTAGGTGCCCGTCAGCAGATGATTGGATCAAAAAACTACGGTACGTCTACACAATGGAATACTATGCTGTCATAAAAAAGGAATTCTCATCATTTGCAGCAACCTGGATGGAATTGGAGAGCATTATTCTGAGTGAAATAAGTCAGTCAATGAAAGAAAAACACCACATGATCTCACTCATTTATGGATAATAAGGAACATTATAAACTGATGAACAAAAAGATAGATACAGAAATAGTAAAGAAACAAACAGACTGTCAAATTACAGCAGGGAGAGTAGGAAGATATGGGGGAGATAAGAGATCAACTGAAGGATTTGTATGCATGCATATAAGCATAACCAATGGATGCAAAACTCAGGGGAGGGAGGACATGTATGGGAGTGGGGGGGATTGGTAAGGTATGTACACATATAATATCTTTAAAAAAAATGAAGAA